AGGGTTGATATGAGTTGCAAGCGACTTTACGGCATATAACAACAATCCCTGCTGCTTTCATCATTATATCTGCATGTATAACTGCATGTTTATCTGTATGGTTTCCCCCATGGGTATTATTTAACTATTATTTTCTTGAGTTGGAAAAGTGGGTTTTTTTTTTTGCATTTACTGCTCTCAGTAGCTTAGATACATATATATTTGCTTGTCTATCATCTGCTCATTTGGGTACAGTGCTTGTCTGTCAGATGCTGCACTAAAGTGGAGCTCCCAGATTTAGACAGACTTGGAAAAAGGATTGACCATACACTTCTGAAATAATGGGCCTTGCAAAACCCTATGAACAATAAAGCACACTTGACTATTAGATATAGCACTCGAGGCTGAACCCTCATATTAGAAAACACCAAAAAATGAGGAGGAATTGTTGAAAACATCCACTAATAACTGGATTGTGGAATGTATGAAGTAGAAAAGTAGGAAAACTGAACATTGTTAAAAAAGAAATGGAACATATAAAGATTGACATACCAGACTTTCATGAACTTAGATGAACTGACATTGGCCACTTTGAATCAGTCACATGATCTACTATGCTGGGAATAAAAAAGTGATGAAAAATGGAGTTACATTAAAAAAATCATTTCTACATCCATCATGAAGTAAAATGTTGTGACAAGACATTATCCATACACATACAAGGAATCCTTGTTATACCACAAACACCTAAATACATGCACCAACAACTAAAGCCAAAGAAGAGGAAATAGAAGATTTCTACTGACTTTTGCAGTCTGGACTGCTCAAAGATGCAGCTAAAATTCATAAATAATAGATGATGATTGGAATGTATAAGTTCAGAATAAGGAAGAAGGACCAGTAGTTGGAAACTTCAGACTTGGTGACAGAAATGAGACTGAAGAAAGAATGGTAGAATTTTATACAATCAATGATTTATTTACTGTAAATATCTTTTCTAATAAACACAAATGGCCAATATACATATGAACATCACTAAATGGACTATACAAGAATCAGATTTATTATGTCTGTGGAATCATTGGAGAAGCTTAAAATCAGCTGTGAACACCAGGCCAGGTGCTGACTGTGGAACCATCAACTACTGATGTGCAAGTTCAAATTGAAACTAAAGAAAATGAAAACAAATCTACAAGATACAACCTTAAGTCTATTCCATCTGAATCTAAAAATCATGTCAAGAACACGTTTGAGACCTTGAACACTAATGAATGAAGACCAGATGAGCTGGGGGATGATAATAGGAATATGATAGCAAAGGTCATTGCAAAGATAGAAGATGAAGAATAGATCAAAATGGATGTCAGAAGAGACTCTGAATATTGTAGAAGAATGCCAAGAAGCCAAAACAAAGCAAAAGAGTGGTGACTTTGAGTTGAACAGAAGATATTTCTTTTTTTAAAATTTTTTTTCTATAATTAT